TACTAAAAGAGGACACGACTAGAAATCAGTGGTTAAGTTGTATTTACAACACTGTTCCAGAACAGTTCAACCCAAATATTCAGATGTGTCCAGAGCATTTTATGGAGGACTGTTTCCTGATCCTGGTAGAGTAGACTACAATGCCGGCTGTTCTGACTCACAGACTGCAAGTACGTTTTATACATTTAAAGAATTTGCCACTGACGATTCAAACGCGAGTTTTTTGGGCAGTGTAGAGTAGCACTTGTTGTTTGTCATTTCTCCGATCACAAATGCAGACATAGTTTTATGTAAAAAGACCGTATAAGTCATTATAATCCGCAATTATTTCCCCACTGGATGCAACAAATGCCTCGTTTATAATGGGTTTTAATGTTTTTGTCTCGTTGCTCCGGCCAGACAGGGCATCACAGTATGGTAGGGGCGTAACATTTCTGTCACACGCTTCAGGTATTAGGCCAATCACAACGCACTGGATAGCTTGCCAATCAGAGCACACCTCGCTTTTCAGACCAATGAGCTTTGTAAAAATCTACGCGTTTCAGAAAGGCGGGGCATAGAGGAGAAAAAATTATGTACAGTATGTGGAAAATCATGCGTTTTTTTTTTTTTTACTTTAAACCGCATAAACATTTCATTACACCAAATACACAAAATAATGTTCTTTTTAGCAGCATCATATGACCCCTTTAATATTTTAAATGAAACAGAAAAGAGACAATGCTGTTTGATATATTTCATTTCACTGTAATGTACGTTCCCCGAACTACATTTTTGCGGCTATTAATGTTTAAAAGAAAACGAAAAGAGGCAGTGGTGTTTGATATCATATTTCGTCTTATTACTTAAAAAAATAGCAATGGTGAATTACCTTGTTCATGTTTCCAGCTTGCTGGGGATTGATGGTATTGTGTGCCCCCATCTGTGGCGCACCCTGGGTAAGCGTCTCCGCCAACACACTGCCAGAAACGCTGACCCCTTGCCCGGTGCCCGGTGCTCCCTGCATGGCCTGACCCTGGTACTGCATACCCGGAGCTGCCCTGCCTCTTCCGGCCGGCCCCATCACGCCATTCATCATCTGCCCCTGCGGAGCCATGTTCTGCCCCATAAGTCCATGAGCCTGGTTGTTATTGTTCAGCATGGCCGGGTTGAAACCTGCATTGAGGCCCATGCCCGGACTGTTGTTGCCCTGACCGGAAGGGTTGCCGACCGGCTTCGGAGGTTGGGTCTGGTGACCGGGTGAGCCCTGGCCCATGGAACTCTTCCCCAAGGCACCCAGTTGGCCACCCATTCCAGACTGAGGGCTGAGGTTTCCAGCCAGACCAGAGCCGCTCCCTGCCTGCAGGAGCTGGGACAGCTGCCTGTGCTTGGCAGCAGCGTCTGAGACGGTGCCCCCCATCCGGCTCCCCACCCCTCCGTCTCCATTAGAGGGCATGGACATCAGCCCCAGGTCTCCGTTGGGTATCAACTCATCTGGAAGATCATTCTCCAAGTCGAACAAGGACACAAAGTCTAGAAAAAGAGAAAAAAGGGTCATCGTCCCATTAATTAACCAACCAACAGGCAACTCAGTAGTGATCAACTAATTTATCAGTTTGGTCAAAAAATTACCAATATTTGTCCAGTTTAACTTGATACTACATTGACAATTGGCCCTTAAAGGGATAAATCATCAATTCTCAACTGTACTTTTTTTTAGTTGTCGTCAAATATTTTGTGAGTTAAGTAAATTATGTACGTCTCAATTGCTATTATTATAAATGGCGATAAATATGCATATGTAATGCAATTTATTATCAATAGGTTATCCTGCTATCAAAACTTTGGCTTCGGCCCATATCAGTTAACTTTTTTCACTGACCAACTTGACTCCTGTTAACAATGAAATCAAAGTTTTGACTAATAAAGGTCACCCTATGCACTCACATACAACTTTGTTTTGGTTTGAAAACGACGTGAGGTTGCTATTGTAATGCAACCCTCTACGCACACCTTGGCAATATAATCACCATTGGCTAGTAAATTTTTTTGTTTACTCGCCAGACTGATACTATTTTACACACACACAATGTAGCATACTACTATATGATTCCACCAAACGCTCAGTGCTCATGTATCCGCTGAGAGCAGTCTCACCTCGGCTAGTCCTTCTGACATTCGCCACTGGCTCTGATGTCTCTGCAGTGGTTAAACATGATATAATTCATTTTGGGTAAATCTAACAGGCAATCTTTGGTCTCATGAATCAATTATTTCTTCCAGGTCATATCGATTTGGCTGAGCACAAAGTTTTATTTATTAATCGTAAAACAGCGCTGACTTTGTTGCATACATTTGCAGGTCTCTACGCTTACTTTTCTTTTTAGGAGCACTTGTGCTCCCAACTTAAAAAAAAATGTAGGAGCATGTTTAAAATTTTAGGAGCACCTTCTAATCAATATTTTATCAAAAATTAGCCTTCCCATTATGAAGTGATTTACAGTGGAATTTTGTTTTTAAATTTGTAATGGCATTTTTTTTTTACTTTATTAAATGTAATCTTTTGTCAAATTCTTAAAAAATTATATTTTATAAGCTTTTAAAAAATTGCAATTAAAACGACAGAATAAGAACAAGTAGAATAAGAAACATAAGTTACCAATCAAATGAAATCACTATTAACAAAATTAATTTGTAGAGGTGGCACAGAAGAACACAAAAGTGGCTTGGTATACTTTGACATTTAATGAGGCTCAGAGGTGGCATGAGTGCAAAATCCATAAATTCATTGTGAGATTGTTTTAAATATAACATTTTGAATATAGAACTATTAAATGATTTAAATAACTGAAAAGATACTTTAAAAATGAAACTAAAACTGCCAGCAGGTGGCGGCAAGTCACTGATTTTATCACTGAATCATTCATTCAATTGATTCATTCGAACGGCTGATTCATTCAGGAATGAAGCAAGTGACTGTCTTTATGAAAGGGTAATCGTGAATCACTGACTCACTAGATTCGTTTAAAAACGCCCGTTCATTCATAAACGAAACACCGCTGTGTTTGAATGGAGATGCGCAGCGGCTCCGCTGTGTCTTTGTTTTAAACTATTTTCGACGACGAAATACAGCAAAATCAGACAATAGTGTTATAGTCAGACAATGTAAGTCACTTAATATTAACATCGTTTATTGAACTGTTGTATTAAATCAGTATCACATTTACAAACTCCCGTAAAAATCATTAAAAGCTGTCACTCATCTTAGTTCATCGCGATCTCACATTTATAATCAACAAAGCTCTCTACACTGCGCAATGAATCTCTTATTTGCACCCTGTCTACATTTTGCTTATGAAAGGATTCGTGAGATATGTCTGTGATACATTATTCAATGCTGCAAAACCACGTAGAAACCTTTGAAGCTCCCCTGAGCGCAATCACAAATATGATGATGATCGGGTCAGTCGCACTGGTGATCCTAAAAAAATTCAGTTGCACGCCGTAGTTTTCAGTCGCAAATCCGACTAAAATGGTCGCACTGTAGAGCCCTGATTTGACTGAATTGTTTGCTTTTGTCTTATTTCCTATTACATAAGTCTCTTATTCTTTGTTGTGCTTGTCATATTTCCTTTTATTATACATTCAGTGAAGATAATCACAGTACATGTGCACATATTACCTAAATCACATAATATGTTTTATATTTTTAAAATAAAAATGAAAAGGGTTGGTTTATATTTTGAAGAAAACGAAAAGGCAGTGGTGTTTGATATCATTTAGTTTTATTGTAATGAATGTACGCGTTGCATGAACCACATTTTTGTGGCTATTAAAGGGGTCATATGATGCCATTTCAATTTTTCCTTTCTCTTTGAAGTGTTACAAGCTCTTGGTGCATAAAGAAGATCTGTAAAGTTGCAAAGACTAAAGTCTCAAATCCATAGAGATATTCTTTATAAAAGTTAGGAGTCAGCCACACCTACCTAAAACGGCTCGTTCTAAAACGCCCCCACATGTCTACGTCACAATGTGGGAAGATTTGCATAATGCCGCCCAAATGTTCACGCAAAGAAAGGCGGCGTAACTTTTATTCTCGCTGTAGTATTGTTGCCGCCGCCATGTCGTGAAGGCACTGCGTTTCATTGTGAAAGCGAAACTACTTTGTTTGGCCTTCCAAACGAGGACGATATCCGCTTCGTCATGCCTGGAGCTGATCCATGTTGGTCGCTGAGGAAATATATCAACTTCACGTTGTCGATCGCTGGATCGGCTTTCACCGTGCACGAAGCAGAGTCCAGCCCGGGGTTGTCACATGTGGTTGCCACAAGCCCACCGGACGCTCATTTGTTGAATCCGCCGGCCGCGTCGTTTTCAAGCCCGCCCGCCCGCTTCTGCTCACTCAAGCCAGCCTCTGCTCACTCAAGGCTGCGTTGTGTGACGCGGTTTCGTTGTGAAAGTGAAACTTTGTTTGGCCTACTAAAAGAGGACACGACTAGAAATCAGTGGTTAAGTTGTATTTACAACACTGTTCCAGAACAGTTCAACCCAAATATTCAGATGTGTCCAGAGCATTTTATGGAGGACTGTTTCCTGATCCTGGTAGAGTAGACTACAATGCCGGCTGTTCTGACTCACAGACTGCAAGTACGTTTTATACATTTAAAGAATTTGCCACTGACGATTCAAACGCGAGTTTTTTGGGCAGTGTAGATGTTGTTTGGTTGTTTGTCATTTCTCCGATCACAAATGCAGACATAGTTTTATGTAAAAAGACCGTATAAGTCATTATATTATTTCCCCATCACAAATGCAGACATGGTTTTATGTAAAAAGACCGTATAAGTCATTATAATCCGCAATTATTTCCCCACTGGATGCAACAAATGCCTCGTTTATAATGGGTTTTAATGTTTTTGTCTCGTTGCTCCGGCCAGACAGGGCATCACAGTATGGTAGGGGCGTAACATTTCTGTCACACGCTTCAGGTATTAGGCCAATCACAACGCACTGGATAGCTTGCCAATCAGAGCACACCTCGCTTTTCAGACCAATGAGCTTTGTAAAAATCTACGCGTTTCAGAAAGGCGGGGCATAGAGGAGAAAAAATTATGTACAGTATGTGGAAAATCATGCGTTTTTTTTTTTTTTACTTTAAACCGCATAAACATTTCATTACACCAAATACACAAAATAATGTTCTTTTTAGCAGCATCATATGACCCCTTTAATATTTTAAATGAAACAGAAAAGAGACAATGCTGTTTGATATATTTCATTTCACTGTAATGTACGTTCCCCGAACTACATTTTTGCGGCTATTAATGTTTAAAAGAAAACGAAAAGAGGCAGTGGTGTTTGATATCATATTTCGTCTTATTGTATACATATACTGAAGATAACCTGAGTAGCCAAGCGAGCTGACTGACGTTATCAATACAATAGGTATAACTGCAGACCAGAGATCTCCAAAATGGGGCATGAACTGCAAAAGTGGGCAGAACATCCAAAATGGGGAGAGGTCTCCTCACGCAAAGACTTTCACCAATGGCTGTGGCTTCAGCCAACTGTTATTGACTTACATTTCAAAATAAAACTTTATAAATTAAACGTTTCTAGTTCATCTAAAATAAATTATGCTATATAAATAAATATTCTCCATGAGAGCAGAGCCCAAAGCTCGTGGCCAGTGGTGTTTGGACTGGAGTTTGAACCTCTGCTTCATGATGTAAATGGGAATCACCCACGAGCAATTTCACTGGTTAAGTTTAGGGTCAGGTGTGGGGTAAGTTTAGAGGTTAGCATTTTTTGTAGCATAGTGCAGGAAATCAACACTTTAATTGACACAACCAATAAAAACTTTAGAATCAGAAGTGTGTCGGAGTTTGCACTGAAGTGGATTGGGGGGAGAAAAAAATTGTGCATGCGTGTCATGTGCATGACTGTCAATTCGAGGGAGCCACGCCCTATTTTGGAGCTCCCACCCCGTTTTGGAGATCCCTCCCCCATTTGGAGATCTCCATGCTGCAGTTATACCCTTCACGAATTACCGGTCCTCGGGAGTCTGCACTTCCGAGTCGAACTTACGAAGTCCGAACTACCGAGGACGCAAGACCGAACTTTGCATACTTGGTATTGAGAAACGGTCAGAGTGTTCAGCGAGTGAAAATATATCTGTGCTAAACTTATAATTAGCCTCCAACTCACACACTGGCGAGTAAAATCTAAGAATTTATTAGCCAATGGCTAACGATAGACATTTAGTCGCCCAGAGTAAGAATTGGTCACATATGCGAGTGATTTACTATGTAACCCTCAATGTAGAGGGTTGTAATGTCTCCTTATTCTCAGCGGGAAGCGCTCAGATTCATGGCTAAAAATAAGAACCACTCCAGCAGCTCATCTGTTACCCCTCGCACCCCTAGTCTTCAACAGATGCCTGTTAGTCTGGTCTACCTCCTCACCACTGAGACCAACACAGCCAGTCACACAGTGCAGACAGAAGAACAGCAGTTTTTGCAGAGAAGGATGTG